TCAGTGGAGATTCTACCTTCCTTCATGCCCTCTGGATCTAGGTTCCCTCTTGAAAGCTTGTAAGCCAGTCACTTCTTGCCTTTGTAGCTCCCCCCATTTTGGATAGCCAATGTCCAGGTTGCCCATCCCTGTCTACTCTGTGTATGGAGGGGGTGGGAATGATCCTTGCTGCAAAGATTTGCTCCCTCTTTTGAGCTACTACATCCATAGGTGTAGGTCATGTTCATCAAATTGTATCAGATTACTCTTTTTTTCCTCTTCTTTCTTCTTCTAGTTGAGCTCTGATCACCCAGACATTAAGGCCAGGTCAAATGGGTATTATCTGCAAGTGTGGGTGCTCCCGCGGACATGCCCTCTCTTCTTATCCACTGGACACTTCACCCTCCACTCCAGTCCTCCATGGCTTTGTCGCTGACTCTGGGCCCAAGAGTCCCCAGGTCTTGCCACACTTCTGGCCAACCAGGTCTCCACCTGGGTTCACAGGAGTCTATTGACCATTGTAGGGCTTAGCTAGCAACCTCATAGCTGTTTTCCCTCATTTCCCCTTGTAGTTGGCAAACGGGGTCACCTATCAGAGCATGTATTCCCATTGAGTCTTAGTCTTGGAAGGGGGTTTACTCTGAAGGGACCTGACCCCTTGCCTTGATGTCTCCTGGGCGGGCAACTTGCTTGTTCTTGTAGTAATTAGTTGGTCTGCCTCTATTGTTTTGTGTTTTTCCTGTCAGTCTTTCTTTCAAGAGGTATCTTTTGTTCTTCTAGCCACTCCAGGCTGGTCTGCCCGTCCTCTCAGGGAGAAATTTCCCACCTCTGAAGATTCTGGATGCTGTTCAGGATGCTACCTATAGTCTTATGTAATGCAGAGGCTCTGCAGGCAGCCTCCTTCACTGGGCACGTTGTCTCCCCATTTTAGGTATTCCAATCAGTTATAGGCAGAAGACAGACTTACAAGTTCTCTATGATAATATTTCTGGCTTCTCCTTTCTCTCCCTTTCTAGTGTCTATTTTATAATTTAATGCAAGGAATACCAAGATTCAATAGACAGCCAAGCAGCTTAACATTATTTCCCCCTTTTTCCCTATTCCAACCATGTCTCAATCTGCGTACCCCTGAGCCCTGTTGTTCCAAGGTTGTGTATACATTATTATTTACCTCCGTCCCACTTAGCCCATGCGAACCTGCCTACTTGTTCTCCCCTCCACTTTGTTCTTCCATTGCCCTCTCCCTTTTTGTCAACACATCTTTTTTGGGGGTGACAATTTAATCTGTCACTGTTCCTCTGATCATCTGTAGTCTGAAAGATGAAGACCAAGTCACATACAGGGCCAGGCCCACCAGAAAGACGTGGTACGGAGGCCAAAAGAGTATCTGCTTTGTGTCTCAGTGGGGCTGACAGTTGCTCCTTCCAAAATTTGGTCTTGTGGGTTTATGAAGTCTGCTTAAGCTAATCTGACTTGGACTCTATTCACTTGCAACTAGGGAGTTCCAATTAATAAACATATCTGCTTTTCATTCAATAACTGTTACTCAAATGCTTAGTATGAAAAACTCCAAAGATCATTTTTCTTTGCTGTGGTAAAACACATATAACAAAACAGTCATTCTAGCTACTTCTCCATGTACAATTCAGTAGCATAAACTGCATCATATTATACAATCATCACTACCCATTTTCAAATGCTTTGTGTCCTCCTCAACAGAAATGTCATGAGAAAGAGGAGGCTTTCTGCTCCCATAAAGATTTATAGCCTTGGAAACCCTTCACAGGGTGGCTATGAGTCAGAATCAGCTCGACAGTAAACAGAAATTTAGTTCCCCCTTAAGCAATAACTCTCACTTTTCCCCTCCCTTCAGCCCCTGGTAATCACTAAAAAACTCTGTTCCTAATGCATTTGCCTTTGCTGAGCATTTCAGATGGAGTCCTGGTGTGGTGTTGTAGGATAAGCACTGGGCTACAAGGTCAGCTTGAACCGCAAGGTCAGTGGTTCAAACCCTCCAGCCACTCCTCGGAAACCCTATATAGGGTCACAATTTGACAGTACTTAATGACAAATATTTCATATAAGTGGGTCACACGATATTTGTTCTTAAGTCAGACTTCTTTTACTTACCCATGTAGAGCATAAAGCAGAATGTCACTTCTCTGTACACTCTTATACAGGGTTGGTATGAGTCAAAACCTATTCAACAGCACTTACCAACAATACCACCAAATCTTTAAAAAACTAGATCCATGGAATACAGATGATTTCTCTTAAAAAATAGGTACAACAAAAACAAATGATTTCTTACTTAATGTGGTCTTCTTACAGTTGATATGCCCACTCCCAACCCCCACCCCCATTAGGCTTTGCAGTGCTACAAGCCCCAAACTATAATAAAGATGAAACCTTACTTCTTTACTTACAGATTTTTGAGTCAATTGTTTTCGATTTCACTTGAGGACAAGGTATGTGTGAAACCGTGGGGAAAGAAGGAACTGAAAAAAAGTGCTCTTGATTCATGCCATGGAAAGTTGTCTCTGTCACTGGTAAGACCTAGAAGGGAAGGGGAGCCCATTGATAGCAATAGTTAAAATTATTGTATTTTTTTAAAATAATCTTTTAAGAAATAAAATTCTATAGGGGACTTAAGCTTCAAATGGGCACATTGAGTACAAACTTTTGTCTTCCTTCTCTGGACACCTAAAAAATGGCGGTCAAGGAAGAAACCCCTCATGGAGAAAAGGAAGACCCATCAGAGGATGAGAGACAACCAGGCATTTCCCAACCTAACAGGAATTTGAGTTGTTGGCAGGCCAGAAAGAAGGGGAAGTAACAGCCCAAAGGCTAGAGGAAGAGCTGCCCTAACAAACAGGAGTCCTGTAATGCTGAAGAGGTTTAATGCTCAGAATTGACAGGCATCGCACAGGGCAGCAATGGGAATGGGAGTGCAAAACAGGAGGGCCAATAAAGTGGATGGGTTTCAGTGGAGCTCGAGACTAAGAGAGTCTAGGAAGGAGGACATGGTCATCTACTTCCGAAATGACTTATCCCACGGAGGCCTCAGGAACAGCAGCAGAACACTGTCTGATCTGACACTGGAGGATGCAACCCTCAGGTGGGGAGGCACTGGAAACACAACTGAGGAAGAGCGGCCTCCTCAAAGTAGAGTCAACCTTAATGATGTGGAGGAAGCAAAGCTTTGGGGACCTTCACTGGCTGATAGGGTACAACTTAACATGAGAAGACACCGCTGGAAACATCCATTAATAATCAGAATGTGGAAAATACAAAGTATGAATGCAGGAAAATTGTAAGTTGTCAACAACAAAATGGAACGCTTGGCGATTGAGACCCTAGCCATTAATGAGGTGAAGGAGCGCAGTGGCGCCATAAGATAAGCTCTGGGCTGGACCACAAGGCTTGCAGTTTGACCTCCCCAATGACTCCATGGGAGAAAGATGAGGCTTTCTGCTCCTGTAAAGATTTACAGCCTCGGAAACCCTAGGCAGGGTAGCTATGAGTCAGAACCAACTCAACGACACTTAACAATA